AGAAAAGAATTTAAATGCATAATTTAAATTCAGATATACTTTTTAAATGCCTTAAAGGTCACAGCTTTTGGAAACCCATAAATGTAATAGTTTTTAATTCATTTTCCATGAAGCTTTGAGCATTTATCTCATAGGTTTTAGTTTTGGCCCAGCCTTAGTGAAATACCCACAAATTTGCAACAATATTAACACGGGGCATGCGAATCTCAAAGTCGTTGTACAATGTGTTATGATAAGCACTATGCATTCATATTTTCCTGTTAAATCTCCTTTTTTTGAATAGTATACAACTAGTTACAGATGTAGTAGTTCATATCGCATGAGGATCTACTGCTGAATATAATACAACCTGAAGAATGCAATTTTTAAATGAATATCTTATGATGAACATGCAGATTTTCCCAGGCTAATGCATGGTGGCAAGATCTTCACTCTACTAACTTGCATATTTTTTCCTCATTTTTAAACAATGATTAACACAGAAGGTATTACACAAAAGAAGATCTTAGTTACACATACCATTAAGATCAAAGGAAGGAAGATTACATGAAACTGTATAATATACATTCCTCTCACCAATGGCAAAGCAATAGTGTCATTGACACAATCATGCCATGTTAATATATCTCAGTTTAATTATTCCCAGCCCATTTCCCCAGCCATGCTATGCTATATTTGTATTTTGATGGAATAGTTTCATATTAACATACCCCGCCCCTTCTTAGAAGCATCTTTTTGAATCCCATATTCAGTATTCCTATATACTCTTTTTGGTAAGAAAATAATCTCACCTGTGGCTGACATTTCTGTGGCATTTTACAGTTTTAATCTATATATATATATATGGGGGGGTGTGAGTGTATATATATATATATACACATACATATATAAATTTATTAAAAAAATAGATTATGGACTTTTTTCTTGGAATAGTCCAAATTTAATAAAAAATGTCATTGTCAATTGCATTCATAATATTAACCAAATTTTGGGGCTTCTAAATCGTGGGAAAATCTCCTTGTTTTTAAATGACATTTTTCTTGCTTTGCAAAAAGGAAAGGAAAAACAATCAAGAGAAATTTTTGAATGAAGATAACTCTTAGAAGAAGGTTGTAGGAAAAATAAATTCAAAAGTAAACAATTTTTTTATTTCCTCCTTTTTTACAGTTTTTTACCATGTGAAGGGGGTAATACGACCAAAAAAAATTGTCTTTATTTATCAAAACATCGAGACTAGGCATACAGAAAAAGAATTCAATCACTTCCATTCACAACAGCATCTCAGTCTGGAGGCGCATGCCACTGTTCCTAATATACCTTAGCTATCCACTTAACCATTTCATAATCCTACTAAAGTGTTTCTGAAAGTCCTCTTGTGTTGTAGTGTAATGCTTAGGAAAGCAAACACACATTTTCATGTGAAGTCAGAAAAATGTATTGTTTTAGCTAAACTGTCATTTCTTCTTCTCTCCTATCCCTCCTGCAGGCTACAAAGATCCAAAATAACCAGTCTGAAACTGAGACAAGTTTAGTCATGGTCAGTTCATACAGTTCCTCTGTATTCATTGTTCTTGCATGATTAATTCCTAATGTCAGCCCTCTTCTACTATAAACCATATGCAAGCAAATTAGGAAATGTGGTTTCACTGTAAAATCTTTCCATAATACTTGTTTTTGCATTCCTAGGGTAAATAATTTCCACCTGATTTTTCTTAACACCTGAATTCTGAGTACCGCAACATCCACACTCTTT